CCAAATCTCCCTCTGCTACCTGCGTGCTCGTCTCATCTTCAAACTTAGCACGAAGAGCCTCCAGGAACCTCCCCATGTCCATCAGTTCTCGTGCATGTTTGGAGTGGAGGCCCTCCACCCAATCGGCCGCCTCTCCTGTCAGGACCCCCGTAACAGCAACCACCATAGCCCACTGAGATGGATACCACCGACCATACTGATCCATATGGCTTATCACCTGACTTAGGAAAAGGGCTACTCGTTCAGGGCTTCCATCAAATGTGGCCTGTAAAGCAGGTGGTCCCCAGACAACCTGAAGATTCCACAACCCTAGAGGGGCTCCCGGAGGCCAGGGCATGGGACCCGGGGACCGTGTTGCACTGACACCCCTCCTGTCCTGCCTGGGTCGGTCTCTCACAGCTCCGCGACCCCCAACAGGTAATCCACCCATCATCTGTGATGGCTGAAGTTCAGGGCCACCTCCAACAGCATGTTCCCCCAACGAGGTTCCTTGGTCTTGATCTGTCGGAGGCTGATCCATTGACCATGCAGAAGCTCGGTCCACACGCGATTTGGGGCTAGTGAGCCGGAACTGGGTCTCCGAACCGGTCACCCCCGTGTCTTGCCAAGAGGAGACTGGAGGTTCTAGTCCAGCAACCCACGGCTGCCATGAGGGGGCGTCCCGAAAGCCTGACTCCCCGAAACGCTCACGCAACACATCCATTGTGCTGGAACCGGAAGCCGAAGGATACTCCCATTCTGCCTCCTCATCGTCCGTCCAACGTCTTTCTCTCCAACACTGGAAAGAGGCTCCTAAATGAGGGGGAGTTGGCATCCGCGGCCCGAGGAGAACAGAGCTGTGCCACCAGTCCCCCGTTCGCCCTCGCTGTCCCGGGAGACCCTCCTCCTCCAGGCGGGGTGGCCCGCTTTTGGACTGCCTAACCTTCGGATTCCCCACTGGTTCCTCAACGCCGTCCTTCACCTCCTCCACCAGCAGTTCCTCCTCCACATCTCCGCCACACTCCTTCTCCGTCTCCAGCTCTTCCAACAGCGTCCCCTCTGCCATTAGTACCATGTAAACGGAGCCCGACTTACGTGTGGAAAGAACAGAGCGCTGACTTTCTCTCGGCTTGCCGTTCGTCCTGAACCGTGACCATAATAAATCACCATAAACAGAACAGAGATTCAAAGTTTACTTGGGTGTTTTGCAGGTTCACGGTCAAAAGTAAAGTACAAGTTGGTTGTTTGGTTCAAAGTCAGCGCTGTGCGCAACTGCAGCACAGTGCTATTTAACAGAAATCCAGCCCTTAAACAAGCATCCAGCACTTCATAACAATCAATAGACACCCCCCCCCGGTACAATCAGCTGTGCACGGTGGGTTGGTGACAGCGAGTCCGCCAATCCTGACATCATCAACCTTCGCCAGCAGTAAACGTTGCCGGCCAGGAACCGTGTGGACATGTGTGCTGCCATCCATCTCTGTTCTCGCTTCCCAGACCCCCCCATTATTGGCGAGCTCCGGTGGACTCGACACTCACTTTCTCTTTCCATCCGCCATCTCCCTCCGCAACTATTTAGCCGCAATTTCCACACCGGGGTAATTTTAGTAATAGTTTAGTAGTTAACAATCTTTAAAATTTTCTTTTTATTGTCTGTGGGTTAGCTGATCACTCACCCAACACCAGCACTCTGTCCAAATCTTCCCTCCTGCACCTCTCTTGCTCCAGAGGCTCCAGCTTCATGGGCGCCCCCCCCCCCATCATCGGCTTGGAGAGACCTTCTCAGGCTATCCAAGAGACTTGTCTGTCTCTCTTTAGACACAGAGCTGCCTCTCTTTCTTCACTGTCCTTACAGGACAGCTTCAGTCTGAAGATCCCCCGGTAACGGTTCATCTGGCTGGATTTTGCCAAGCTTGTCAGAGCCCAACATTTTCCCAGCCAGTAACGCCACACCACTTCCTGATTCCTGACCAGAATCAGTGGAATGAGTTGCCTCCAGACGTTGTGATGCTCCATCACTGGAAGTTTTTATGAAGAGATTGGACAGCCATTTATCTGGAATGGTATAGGGCAGTGATGGCTAACCTTTTTGCCATCGCGTGCCAGGAGAGGGGGGGTGGGGGAGGGTCATGCGCGCACGTGCCCACACCCGTGTGTGTGCAACCCCCTCCCCCCTCCTCCCCACTCCTGGCACATGATGGCCTGGTAGGCCTGTTTTTCTTTCTTACCTGGTTCCAAATCCTCTCTGTGTATCTGGGAACGGCAAAAACAGCCTTCCTCACTCCCTTGGAGGCCCTACGGAGGCTGAAAGGGCCCATTTCCCAACTCCCGGTGGGACAGGAAGTGACATTTTTGCTGTCCCCAGCCTCCAGAACCTCTCTATGAGTCTCTAGGAGCCTCTCTAGGAGTCTGTAGGAGCCTCTCTAGGAGTCTCTGGAGGCTGGGGACAGGAAAAAACGTCACTTCCTGTCCCACCGGAGTGGGGAAATGGGCCCTTTCAGCCTCCGTAGGGCCTCCAAGGGAGTGGGAAAGGCTGTTTTCGCCATTCCCAGATACCCAGAGAGGATCTGGAGCCAGGTAAGAAAGAAAAATGGGCCTTCCCCACCCCCCCAGGCCCTCCAGAGGCAGGAAACAGCCTGTTTCCCTACTTCTGGTGGGCCCAGAAGGCCCGAAAATCAGCTGGCCGGTGCGCGCATGCGCCCCAGAGCTGAGCTGGCGTGCCCACTAATATGGCTCCACGTGCCACCTGTGGCATGCGTGCCATAGGTTCGCCATCACGGGTATAGGGCTTCCTGCTTGAGCAAGGGGTTAGACTAGAAGACCTCCAAGGTCCCTTTCAACTGTTATTCTGTATGCTATATTCTGTTCCTGAAAGGAGACAAAGAGAACATTACAAGAAATCAATTTGTGGGACATTATTTGATGGGATTACAGATCATTTTTTTAAAAAAGTAAACAGGAGGTTTATAATGTAAATCTATGTGACTAGGGTTAAAATATATATGTTGTGGTTTACAGTAGTTTATATTAATTTTTTTATCTTTACATTTCTAGACTTCAATAAAATAATAATAAAGGTTCACCTTTAAGGGGTGACTCAATCAACCTGCAAAACACTGCTGGGTTCTGAGTTTCTGTTATGTATTTCAGTTTGGCCAGACCACAACTGTCTGGACCTGGTTCAACTGAACCCTTTACTGCAATGTGTTTGTTCTACATATGTAAGAAACCACGCTTTCTGTTTCGTGCATGTATCTAGCATTATTAGGGCCAAGAGAAGTGTGTCTAGGATTTGGAACTACTCAACCGTTAAACCTTTTATCAGCTTCCTACATAGTAACACTGAATTCCTTTTTTTAGTAGTTTATTGATGAAACAGTGAGATGATGGACTTTTTTAAAAACTAAGAAGAACGATAAAACTGAACACAAGGGTAGGCTTCTCATTGCTGGATCTGTCCAACTAGAAAATAGACAACATCCACCAGGAATCAATGGTGAAATCCAAATTTTTATACTACCGGTTCTGTGGGTGTGGCTTGGTGGGCGTGGTGTGGCTTGGTGGGCGTGGCATGGGAAGGATACTGCAACATCCCCATTCTCTCCCCACTCCTGGGGGAAGAACCTGCTAGAACCTGCTGGATTTCACCCCTGCCAGAGATGCTTTCCTTTGGATGTGTGCACTGAATTTGATTTAATGCCTTAAACAGTGCAATTCAAACAGAGAATTCCACCAAACATGGGGTTGGTTCAGGGCCTCTCTTTTCCAGATTAGATCCTGCAAATAGTGTATAACACATCTGAGAACAATTTTTGAACTACATACCCTTGATATGTTCTTGTACTACATCCTTGGTAGTATGTGAAATCCTTGGGTGATCACCAAAACCATGTTCAATCTATTGCCTGAAAGCTTGTTTTGAGCCCTTTCTCTGAAAACATGGAAGCCAATTTATGGGGATGACAAACCATAGTACTTTAGCAGAGCACAGATCTAACTAACTGTAAGTTGATGCTCAAGCCTTGAGATTTAGGTGTTTCAGCTTGTCCCAAAGCCTTGTTTTACCAGTGGATGTCTATAGTGTTGGCTTTATTGACCATGAATTCTATAATGAAGAATAGCAGACATGCCAGCTAATAGTGCCAGGAGCAAAACCAATTTGCATTGGTTTCCAGTAATTTCCATTAAATTCACTTATATTTATTTGAATGCAGTTAATATCACTTCACTTATTTCCCTTTTAAAGCAAAAAGTCCATAAATAGTTTCTAGTCTTTGTTAAAATTACTTCAGTTCCTGACCAAACAAGTTCATTCTGCCAATTCTGCTAGTTTCATAATCTACCCTTCCATTGTGGTATTTTAGTATTCTTCATTGTTGTGCTTATAATAATCTTGCTGTAGTTACCATATATAAAATCAGTCCTTCCACAACTCTTTTCTAATTGGCTGTCCATAAATCCCAAATAAAGAGTGTTGGGGTTCTTCTTAATATTAATCTTTAAAATTCTTTGTATTATTATATGTATTTGTATCCAATTTTTATTCTGCTTTTTCAAAAGTCTGCCATGCATGATGACATGTCCCTTAAAGTTTTTCACATTTCCAGCATTCACTAGAAGTATCTTTATACATCTTTTTTTTATTTTTCATATTTATTTTCATTTGTCAACAAGAATAAAAACAAAACAGAGAAACAGAAAAATGAAGCTGATGATCCTGCTCTTCTCTCCCTCCTCCTGTGATGAAAATCATGTTATTTCTTATATAAACAATTATGATTGGCTATATTGATTCTCTGCTTTTATCTCCCTTGTTGGGATGAATGGATTTCTTTGCATACAAATGATGATTTTTAAAGGATTTCTGGGTGGGGAATGAGGAAATAAGTTTCCTTTTTAAAATCTTAAAAACCTGCTTCAATAAAATGTGTATTGTGCATTATGCCTTTCCCTGTTTCATGCTTTATTTATTTTCTTTCATCCTTCATGATTCCTGCGTAATTGAACAGGCTACAATCATTCCTCTGGCAGAGCAGATCTATGCAACCACATATGTTAGAGGTCCAAAGCTTAACTTCACCAGACAGAGATCCTGATGCAGCTCTTCATACAATACTAGTAAACTTTCTTGAAATTGTTATTTATTAATTTGTATCCCACCCTTATTATTTTTACAAATAACTTGAGATGGTGCACGTATCCAACACACCTGCCTCCTATGTCCCCACAACAACCCTGTGAGGTAGGTAGGACTGAGAAAGAGTAAATGGCCCAAACCCACCCAGCTGGCTTTCATGGCTATGGCAGGACTTGAACTCACAGTCCCCTGCCTTCTAGCCTGGTGCCTTAATTGTGAGACTAAACTGGCTATTCATGAAAATGTCAGGCTCGAAATCAAGAATAACACATGGTAATTTTTGCCAGCGATTTCTTTATTGTTTCACACCTACAGACAAAAAATATTTCCTATTAAAAATGCTACTATCAACTTCTACAATGTAGTTTGTAAACTATTAAGTAAACTATTAAGGCTGTCTTCCCCACATTTTTCTCTCATACAGAATATCTGGACTGAATCACCTTTTATTCCTATGAAATACGGCCCCTCCCTCTTCGGAATCCACCTCCTCATTACCTTCCAGCACAGTTATTTTGGTTAGAAAATCAAGTATCAGTTTATTAATGGATGGCTTATCTGTGAACACATATGGAATAACAAGTAATTTTTAAAAAGTATTAACATATATAGTTGTAGAGAAGCCCATACATCAATAAGTTGAAACAATGGTATATTTAGGGGTATATTTTGGCACCTAAAATTCTCAGCTTCTTTGTGAATATATTCCCCAACCTGATATTCTGCAAAAGCATTGTGAGTTCTAGATCTTGAAGTCCTAATACATTCCTCCTTAAAATTCAATATTGCTTATGCCCTCATCGGTTTATTAGGAGTCGTAATGTTGGTTATTAAATTCCTTTTTAAAAGGTTAGTAGAGATTGTCAGCTGTAAAAACCTACATGGGACATGGTGAACATACGTGTACATTACATTAAGGTTTTTCTTTGAATCAGCTTCCAAAATGCCCCCTTGACATCCTTGTTTCTCAGGCTGTAGATCAGAGGATTGAGCATGGGAGTCAGAGCCCCGTATAATAAGGATATGACCTTGTCTTTTTCAGAAATGGATTTCCCTTCAGGTCTCAAGTACATGATCATAATTGTTCCATAAAAGACACTGACCACAGCAAGGTGAGAACTACAGGTGGAGAAGGCTTTTCTGCGTCCCTGGGTAGAGCTGATACGTCGTATAGCCAGGCCTATGCGGATGTATGTCACAACTATGAAGCCAAAGGGAGGGAATAGTAGAAAGAAGCTGGAAATATGCATAAAGAGCTCACTGACTCTGTTGGAACAAGCCAGTTTGAGTAAAGATTGCAGTTCACATCCAAAATGGTTGATGGTGTGATGGCCACAGAAGTCGGTGGGCTGCAAGAGCACGTTGACCAGTGTCATCATGAAGGCAAGGGCCACTGACATGGCGACTAGATAAATGCATAATTTCCAACTCATGATCTGCGTGTAGTATAACGGCTGGCATATAGCTGCCAAGCGATCATATGCCATGACTGCCAAAATGATGCACTCTGCTACAATTAGAAATAGACCCATATACATTTGGACCAAACATCTAGAGAAAGAAATTGTGGGCCTGTAGATGAAGCAGTTCACATCTCAGGAAGTGCATTGTTGGTAAGAATAAAGTCTACTGTGGAAAGGACACAAATGAAGAAATACATGGGGGTATGAAGTCGGGGGTCAGCAATGATCAACATGATGATGAGTCCATTGCCAAGAAAACTAATGAGATACACCATCAAGAGGAACCAAAAGAGAATAATCTGACCTTTGGGATATTCTGATAATCCGATCAGGATGAATTTGATCACCAGTGATTCATTTGAAGTTCCTATCTTATTTTCTCTCATTCTCTCCTGCAGGAAAGAATGAATGGCTGATTACTGACAACATTCAAAAGAGATGCAATTCTTTCACTTTAAATTTTTAGATTGCCAAAGCTGTATAGAAAAAATAAAAATGAAATAAAAACTGTTTGAAAACTGCTTTGCGCATCATGCTTAGACAGAATTTGTTTTAATCATGATTTATTGAATACAATTGTTGGATTCTCACATGGGTAGCTTCACACACTGCAATAATAATAATAATAATAATAATAATAATAATAATAATAATAATAATAATAATAATAATAATAATAATAATAATAATAATAATAATAATAATAATTTTATTTCTATACCACCCTTCTCCTGAAGGACTCAGGGCGGTGTACAGCCAATTTAAAAACACAAGACAAAACAATGATTAAAAATTAAAATAATTAAATAGATTTGGCCCAGTTTAAAACCCCGAAAATTTAAAATACCCCAATTTAAAATTATTATGTTGATAGCCCGGCCTGGCGGAACAACAGGGTCTTCAGAGCGCAGCGAAACACCCGGAGGTCGGAGATCTTACGTATTAAAGTATATGTTGTTTGCAAACTGCTGTGACTGCATAAAATGGCACCAATTCATTCTTTGGGAGGGTGGAAAGATTGCAAGAAAATCATGTTACTATTCAGAATGAAAAATAGGCTGATGCTTTTATTAGAAAAAAATAACTATATTCTAGGTAGTCCATTCTCAAACTATCCAGAACACTTTTTTTGTGCTGTACTAGAATCCAAAGGAGAAGTTATAAATCAAATTCTTGATCTCCTCCTTGGGCTGTCATATCCCATAAAAGATTAAGATTGAGAACGGAGGTTGGTTAGACAACTAAATCTCACAAAAAGAAAAACATTCTTGCAATGAAAGGTAAAGAGAGTAGAGAGAAAAGAGATGCTAGCAACAAGTTCAGCCTTCTCAGAAAAATAAGCATTAGAATTACCAGAAGACAATTCATTTCAGTAGCAGTTCCATTCCCATTTTTTTTTGCATCAGTCTTCTGTTTAATTAATATTTACATCTAGACTTCCTTTTTCTGTCCCTTCTTATCTTTTTGAATTAGCCTTTGTTCAGATGCATAATTTAAAAGTCATTCACCCTGTTTCTTTCTCAGATCCTTTAGTGGCAAACATAAGAGATAGTCCTGTTGTGTTTGTAGATGTATGCACACACAAATACAGATCCACAAACCCCACCACCACACACAGATATGATGGAGTTGGACATCTGCTCCTTGTGCTCACTTCATAGCAACTGCATATGTTTGCCACCAGGCAAAGCTCCTTCTGAAGACATGGCTTCAAAGTCTCCTGTCTAGATCAAGGACTCCATGAATTCACAATTTATTTTACAAATACAAACAGAGAACAACTTACCCACTTAAATTATCTTCTGAAGTTTTGCTTACCCAGTGTTCTTCCAGTGATAAATGGTCAAATATGGTCTCTGCATCATATATATGCAGTACGCTAAGCGTAGTGGTCCTCATTGCATTTGCTTTTACTTCTGAGCCACAGCTCGAGAGGAAAAACAAGCACTTAAAGGGGAAAAATATTAGCAGAAGGATAGTGTCTTAGATCTATTTTTTGCCTTGGCATTAAGAACAACAGTCAGTTCCTTGAGGTAAAAGGTTTTTTTTTTTCATTCTCATCTTTTCCCCAGTGGGTAATAAATGCCATTTCTGCTGGAAGAAGGCCGAGATAAAATTCCAAGGACAGGTCTTTAATTGAATTTCAAGGGAATTTCCTGCCCGTTAGGTTTAAAGTCGAAAAGATAAATTATTTCATCATTTAAATTCAACTGTGCCATTCTTTTCCAGAAGGACAGCTTTACAGCAAAACCAATCTTTTTTAGTTTCTCAGAGACTGACAACATTTATAGCATAAAATGGCTGTAGAAGCCAGTGTTCTGGTGTGCTTCACAATCAAATGAGAATCCAGCAGTGGGAGAATAGTTTAATGACCACATAGAAGGGGGCGGTCCCACAGGAAGCTTGCAGAACCAATGAGAGACTCCCTCCTGATGTCCCCGTGCAACCTGTTTTTGGCCAGTAAAGTGCTGCTGGAGGCTGGGGAGGCCAAAAATGGTCCATATGGGGGGCCCGTGTGACTGCTTTTTGGCCCATTTTTGGCCCATTTTCGGCCCATTTTTGGCCCCTTTTGGGCCGGCAGAGTGCTGCAGGAGGCCATGTAGGGTGAAAATGGGGGGCTTGTTGTAGCTCGCCAGCAGCCTGCACGGATTGTGGCTGATCCTGACAAGGAGGAGTGTGGTGTCGTGCCAGCAGCCTGTGCAGCCAGCGCTCGAGTCGGACAGCAAGGAGGCTGAAGAAGATGTGGTGCCAGAGGCAGAGATTCAGCCAGGACCTTCAGATCCTCCAGAGGCTCCTTCAAGTGAAGAGAGTGAAGTGGAGGAGCCTCTTCTCAATGCACGAGCACGCAGAGCTGACAAAAGGCAAGAGTGGTTATTCAGGAGGAGGTCTCCTCGAGAGTAAGGCTTGGGGCTAATTGGCCACTCCCTTAGCCTATTTAAGTTTGCACACAGCTGGCAAACATTGCAGGAAACAATGTGTGTTCGTCCGGTCGTTTGTTGAGCATTTGAGAGTGAATTTTTCTTGCAAACCTGGTTTCTGGGCTAATTGCCAACTCTTTTTCTAATCTTTGGAATTTCTGGCAGGCTGTTAAGGACATTTTTAGTAATAGCCTGCATTTGAAAAAGACTGTTTGTAGTAAACGGAGTTGTTCGGAGTTTTGTGTGTGCTACATTTCTTGGGTTCCGTAGCTGGGGCAGAACAGGGCTGCACGTGGCACATTTTAGCCAGCAGAGGCACCGTGGGCCGGTCCTTTGATATTTTCAGGCCTGTCCCACGGGCCAGATTTAAGCATCCCACAGTCTGAATCCGGCTCACGAGCCTTAAGTTTGACACCCCTGCCTTAGCTTGTGCATCTCTCTGGGGGTCATGGAATACAGCTTTTGCTTAGGCAGTTTAGCTCCTGGCAAAAATTCTATCACACAGTCGGTGGGCCAGTAGGGAGGCAGGTTGTTGCATTCTTGTTCACTGAATGCGTTGGCCCTGTATTCTTTAAGGACCTGGGGGCAGCCTGGTGATGATTTGGCACCGGTGGCAGTTTTCTCACAGGTCTCCGGGTCACGTGGCAACACCATTGGTTGGGCTTTGCAATGAGGGCGAGGTGGCAATGGTCCCACTCCTAGTCTCACCTTCCTACAGCCATCCTCCCATGTGATGGTGGGTGCCCATTTGTCAAGCAGGCTAGACCAGAATAGCAATAGCAACACCACTTAGACTTATATACCGCTTTACAGTGCTTTATAACCCTCTCTAAGCAGTTTACAGAGTCAGCATATTGCCCCCAACAATTTGGGTCCTCAGGATAACTGACTGCGTCATTTTTGGTGCCACCACAAAGCGGATAAGTTCCCAGTGGTGGTCGATCTCCAGCCTCACCAGCTCGGTGACTAGGGTGGCTGAGGCTCCACCTATTAGTGTCCCATCAACCTGCTCGAAGCATATCAGGCACACCAGTGGCTTTGTGGTTATTCCTAGCTTCTGGATGGTGGGAAGGCTGATTAGGCACTGGGTGCATCTGGTGTCTATGATGGCCTCTATGTCTCCCTGGGCTACTGTCCTAGGCACTACTATTCCTGACTTTATGGTGAAGGGTCAGATTGCTTCACTTACCATCAAGTCATCTTTGCTGTCACCGCTGCTGTCACTAGGGGCAGCTGGCAGGGTTTCCAGGGCAGGAGTTCCCTCAACCTCGAGAGGAGGGAGAAGATCTCAACACCTTGCCAGGCGAGCTTCTCTTTCTCGGCTGGCTTGCATGGGGTCTCCTTTGCCACTGTAGGGGTCCAGGCCTGAGGGATGGGGGATGGAGCCAGACACTCCGATGCTTGATGGCCTTGTTGGCCACATCTAAAGCACTTAATGGACCCAGTTGGGGTTGGATTTGGCTCTTCCAGCTGTCTCTAGCTTGACCAATGACCTAAGGCTCTCTTGGGTTTCTTCTCTGGAGATGCTTTTCGATGCAGGTGGATTTTGAGGCTCATGGCCACCGCCACTCAGTACCACTCATGTATGCGTTTGGGGACACCCAGGCAGGTGCATCCTTGCCACAGATCTAGGACTCCTTGAAGTAATGGACAAAGAGGTGTTCAGGCCAGTACCACAGTTTTCCCACCACTCTACGGAATTCCCACATCAGTTCATTTGGGGTAGTCCTTTTGCTTGAGATCCCTGATCTCAGATTCGGCCTCTTGTCCTGGGGCCATGTTCTCGAACCATGTTCTCAGCTCCTGCAGGAACTCATCATCATCTCCAAGATTGGGGAGGCCCTTCATCATACAGTTGAAGGGGCCATTCGGCCGTTTCACCTTCCATGTTGTTGGTGATGGATAAAATCATCTCCTAGTCCAATTGGTACTGGTGTCCATAGCAGTCAATGTGAGCCCAGTTTCAGTTCAGGAAACAAGCCAGCTTCTCAGACCTCCTATCAAAGGTGGCCCTGAAGCACGGTGGGGCAGCTGGCAGTGCGGGCAGGGGTGGGCACCATGGGTTCCGGTGCCCATTGGCACTGGATGCCTCCTGTTCTGACCTAGGCTTCCTTAGAAAATAAACAGCATAAACTTAGTCCCGGCAAACCTCTTTTATTCGTACAGCTTTAAATTGCTTTCATTTACAGTCCGCAAGGCTTGATAAGCAGTCTTTCAGAATAAGGTTATCAATACCCACCTATCTCACATGGAATGCTGCCAAAGAGCTAATTTCCAGATGCAGGGCAAGGCCAAACTTGGAACAGAGTCACAAACAGAAGTTTCAAATCTTGATCAGCCAGATGAACTAACTGCTTCCTGAAAAAGCTCACGTTCCTTTCGCTTCTCTTTTATGTCTTATGGGAAGAGACAATCATCTCCAAGCCTTACTCCAAAGATCCTGTTTCCTTAATTGTTCCTGTCTCCTGGCAGCTCTGTACATGCACACTCTGGGAACAGGCTCACGCTGTTCTTCTGCCTTGCTGATATCAGACTCCGGAGACTCCGGAGACAGCAAAGAACTACCAGATGGCCTTGGCTCCCTCTCTGCCTCCA